TTTTTAAATATTAAGTAAAACTAAATTTATTGTATTTGTGTTACACTCTGTATACATACAAATACTCGATATGTTCACACACAGAGAATAACATACCTCCTGACTCTTACCCATCTAATGCGCAGGTGAACATTAAATATTATATTCGAATATTATCTAACAATCACTACTCTTGGAAACTCTACCGTGAGAACATAGTTCTCCACTGAAATTAATAACATGTATTATTCTTACCTACCAATATACCTAGGGGTAACATAAATGATAACTAGTCAAAATATATATTCTATCAAAAATATCTTACTTGTAATAAAAAAAGTAATATAATTTTTCTTATGTACATGCATAACAATAAAATATGCTATACACGCAGGTATTAAGTATAGGTAGGTATAATAAAAATCTTCCAACCGATATACAGTAACATAAATTGTTATGATCGTTTCGTTTGATTATTATAGGTAGATAGAATTGTCATTAATTTACAACACTATGACATACAAATAAATACCGAAATATTACAAACATTATTTAAGTGGAAACTTACCTATTTGTTGTCATTAAAATAATATCGAACTCGAGTTCAACAATCAAAACAACAAAGACATATTCAAAAAATTGTATAAAGTTAATATTTAATTAATAAAATAATAACACATATTAATAAATTAATGACAATTCAAAAAAAAACCATACAACAATAAATTTTAAAAAATAATTACAATAATAAATATTATAAAATCAAAATTTATATTAAGGAAATAGCATATTACATACTAGATACCTTATAATTTCAAATAATAATCAAACTTCATTGACTTGTTTTAAAATGACGATCTAATAAGTAGATTGGTAACTGAAATATGAATAAGGAAACTTTTTTTGGTGCTTAACGGTTTTTAATCCAATAATTCTAGTTTTCATGTTTATTAGAACATTGATAATTATTATAAAAAAGATTCAATTTTTAAAATATGCTTTGTTTTCCAACTGTTTTAAATCTTAGACAATAGGGAGGACTGTTTTGTATTGCTTTCCTTTGACGCCTTCACGTTTATTTTCATAAACACGAATGACCATTTACATTTTAAGATATTTCATTTATTGACTCTGTCGCAAATGGCTCTCGGCCTACAGTTTTCAGATACCTGCTTACCAAAATGAATTAAAATCAAGTCAATATTTATAACACACAAAATCCAAAAATATGAACTATTATTTTACCAGACTAGTTACAAAAATATTGGTATAAATTAAAGACTAAGATTAAATTACACATTTTCACTAAAAGTATAATAAACATAAATAGCAGTCAATAACCAAAACAGAAGTGTGTATACAAACTTCTCCATAGCTCTAGCTTTACCTATATATTAATCCGAATCAAAATTAAAAAATTATATTTAAAAGTATATCTCTAATTCAAAACTTATTGAAAGTAATTATTTAAATATATTAATTAATTGACATGTAAATTATATTAAGCACCCAAAATATTTAAATGTTAACATATTTTATAAAAACTAAAATAATTTTTCAAAACACGAAATATTTAAACGTGTTACCTAATGTATTTCGTAAAAAAAAGGGAAAAATTTATATAAGTCATATGTGACTCATTACTTTGGATTTGAAACACACATGATATGGTATTAAAATAATCGATATTTCTCTTTCTTGTTTAATGTATAAGAATGCAAATGTTTAATCCGCATTTTAATTCGTACTCAACTATTAAACGGAGTGAAGTGGAATTTAATTTATTTATTCAACGCTCTTTTTAATGAAAAGTACGCCTTTACGACTGAAGGATAGGCAACATAACTTACTGCGCTATCCAGAAATTAAATGTTATTAATATTATATTAATGTTAAAAATAATAAATTAATTATACCACAAACTAAACCTTTGATGCCTTTAAGTATTAGAAAAATTCTTTCAAGTTTTTAAAGTTTGGAATTATATATGAAAAAAATAAAAAGATAAATAATTGAATAAAAAAATAAAGAATTATGATGGGGCTTGATTTGATTTTGTTTAAGCAGCTAATAATCTACTTATATTAATAAAGATAATTTTTGATCTTCTCTTAATTTAAATTTTAAATGTATGGCAATTTCATTACTATCTTTTAACACACAGGAAACTAAAGTTTTTATTTTACTAGAATTGAAAATTTGAGAATAACAAAATTAAAATATTTTTATAGAACATGAGACATTGTTAGGATTTTGTATTAGGTATTAGAAGTGGTGATTTTCCATGGCTATTTTTACGAATTACTCTTTTAATTACCTAATAATTCTAATGTCATGATAAAATTTCTATAAACTAAGTTTTTTTGTATTTATATATTATAATTAAAATGTTTCAGCATAATTTCATGGTATTACAAGTTTGTTTACATACAAGTTACATAATAATTATTTATTTAGTTGTTATTGATCTTTGTTTTTGCTTGAATCTGAAAAAAAGAGATCTTGCGGTAAACGTGGTCTTAGTTGTAAATTTTTAGTTTTGTTTCCCAATTTGTAGAATCGTGCGCCATCAGATGAATTCAGATTTGCATGAAAGTTATTGAACTGCATTGTTATCCAGACTTGGAGTAGAAGGACTCTAGTATCATTATGAATTTGTCTATTCCTCATAAACCATGGGGCTTTTAGACAAATTCTTAAAAATTTGTTTTGGAGTATTTGTATTTTGTTGACTTTAGTTGAAGAAGCTGTTGCCCAAATTGGGCAGGCGTATAAACTAAGTTAATGCTAAATTAAATTGTATCTCTGAAAATAATGGGTGTTTAAATTTTTATCTAAACATAAACATAGTATTTATGTCATGTTTGACAAATTTTCTAAGAGTATAAAATGCAAGTAACACTATTTTCAAAAAAATAATTGGCAGGTTACTTGATGTAAAACAAATTTTACACTATTATAATAAAGTCAATATTTATACTTACCAATAAAATTCTTGGGTCATTTATTTTACCTAATTATTTAATTTATAATAATTAGTATCCAAACAGTAATAATTTATCAATTAACCATTGAAAAAAATAAGATTAGATTATATAAATTTACTTAAAATTAAGTGTGATATGTTCATTTGATTTTTTTTCTTGAACACTTGGGAAATCAATTATTTTATAAAATATTAGTAATCAAAATGGTTTTATAAAGATACAATATGCGACAAATGAGCCGTAATTCATAACCTTAACTATAATATTATCTACTCTAATAAGTAATTTACATTTATTTAAGAAACATTTATACATACACATAATAAATGACAGTCAATTACACTACCAATTCAATTTAATTTAGCTACATAAATATAGGTTAGTATATAAATATGTTTTTATCCTAGTATAAATTATTTTAATAACAATTGACATTCTAAAATATTAATATAATGTTCTAAAATATATTAACTTTACACTCACTGGCTTCAATGGTATCAAGTTTTAATAATTAATTTAAAACTCAATTTTTTTTTAACCAGTCATAAAATATCTGATTTATTCTATCTATATAAATTAGTAATTGGATTCATATCTTGTCTTTTTATTCTTAAACATATTTCTTTTCATTTACACAATATAACACTCACTTATATTTTACATTGCATGTCAAAAATCACCATACATAAAAACATAATATGAACAAAATAGTCCACTTGATAAACCTCAAACATGGAAAATAATATATTTTTAAATCATGCATAAATTTAATATAATTTATTTTCTATAAATCTAAAAGATTGAAAGGAGATTTTCGTATCAACTTGTATGACAAAAAATGGTTTTTTTTTTTTTTTGTCGTATAAAATAGATATTCATATCAGCAGTCTTATTGCTTCTAAAATCTAATCTGCTGTTGTTTTGACTAACTGGACAATCTAAACTAATTTTACTAGTGTTATTGTGATAACTATACATTTTTAAACCTTTAAATACTGCATTATCAATATAAATTTTTTAAATAGGGTTGAATTTAGATATTACAATGAACATTTCTAAGAAATTCTTATGATCATTATTGAGAGATAAAGTTGCTTCAGCTTTTTTGGAGCCACAATAACTCAAATCTCTCCTATCATAATCATTTATATTGTCTCAACATTTCAGTCTAAAGCAATATGCTATTTTCACTTCTTTGCTTGTTTTTCTTTAGCATAGTAGCTATAAAGGTATTTTTCATTTCACCAAAGCAAGTAAGCACCTACACATTGAATATGAATTAATGAGGTTTCGTATTCATGAACATGTTGGTAAAATTGTTTGATGTGAGACTGGCAATCAACAGTAGAATGATTTGAAATTTTTTAAAAGGCTCAGTAAAATTGTAAAATGTACAGTAAAAATAATTTAATGTTTTTTTTCCCATAACTTACACAATCTTGCTAATATATATAATTATATTTAATTTGGAAATAATCAATTAAAAGATTATAAGATGTATTATCATACGGCTAAAAAGAGGAAGTTTAAAAAAAATGTTTTTAATTATCCACGTTGGGTGTTTTATAACTACTAATAATCATAATATTATGCTTTACATCTTCATTTAATTATTTTTGATCAAAAGCAAAGTGCCTTTTATTTATATCAAGAGTCTGATTTGTTCGAATTTGTTTAATTCCAGAGGAACAATTACTTGTCAAATTATTGTTTTGAATGTCAGAAAAAATAAAATGATTAAATACAACAAACTTAGATCATCATTTCTATTAGGCATATGCTAAGATAGATTGAAAGAAAATTCATTCATATTAGATTTATAGATATATTTAATTTAATGAATTTTTGTTTTTTTTTCGGTAAAAAAAAATTAAATAGAAAAAAGTCGATGAACAGTATAACTTTTATATTTTTAATGATAAGTTATTAATACATTTTAAATAATTATGTAGTAATAGACAGCATTTTGTAATGGTAATATTATAATATTATTATAATAACTTTATATTAATATTATTTGTGATTGTAATGTTATGAGAATATTTTTAATCTTATACATTTCTAAACACTATTAACATACTGTATATATTTCAGTCATATTTGAGTTTTTATAATAAGTATATAAACATGTCAATACTAATATGTATACTATTGAAATAATTAATGTCTGGATTCGGGAAAAAAAATTGAATGACCGACTGGTCATCAATTTGAATTATGGCATTTGGAACTCTTGTTGTTAACCTGTTTTTTTATAAATTAATGTATTACATTGTTTATTTTAATTATTTAGGTTTTTTGATAGGATATTGAATTTTAAAATTTACTTTGTTTGTTTATAGTTCAGATCATTGTTAAGGTTTGAGCCACCATGAATCCAGGTCTTTTAAAAATTCATAAAACGCTTTATCAATTGCATTAAGTTTGTAATAATTAATGAACGGTAAAAAATTAAGAATGGCATTGCCCTTATCATCAATTAAACCATTAATTTGTAGGTGAAATGTTTCTAAATACATGACAATGTTATACATTTGTACTATGTGTTTTTTTTTTCTGTAAATCGCTTCCAATGTATAACTTCACACACTTGTACACTGAAAAATAAGATGCAATAAAATTGAACTGCTCAAATTAGTCATTAAGATATATTACACGATTTTACTTACTCATGAAAGATATCAGGTGAGTTACATAAAATAATAGAACTGAATATAATAATCGAGACCTTCCATAGAATTTATTTATTTAGCTTTAACTAATTGATATACGGAATACAAATTAAACTACACTTAAGTTAGTAAAGCTATAGCTTAAGTTAGAGAGCCTAGCTCTCTAGCTTAAGTCATATATGAAATGCCGGCCTTTAGTTATTACCATCTTTGATCTTATCTACTTACTGTCCTATGCTATCACTAAACAGAACGTTGTGAAACGTTGCGCTTAAATGATAACTAAAATGAAAACGGACATGCCCAAGCGATGACGGTTGATTATCATGATAATAAATGTTTGTGATAAACTGATAACGCCGTCTGGATTTTATTGTCTTATTAGTTATTATTATTTAGTATTTACTTAGTTGTAATGTTTGCGTTTTTTGTTACTGTTTTTATATATATATTATGAATAATTTTTTTTACTGCTGTTGTTTTTTATAAAGTTTAAAACAACGATTTTGTCATTACGTATTAGTTCTTGGACCAAATATGTAGTTGTCAGTATGTAATTAAGACTTTAATTTATTCAAATCTATTTTATTTTGACCATCAAAATGGGCATAAACATAGAACATATTTTAAATGACATAAAATTTGATCAAAAATTATTAAGTGTGTTAGACACGTATAATAAATACATCAATTATCGATTTGACTATCTCATCAGAACAAGTATTACTCAAACACCTGACGAACTCAATCATAACGTTGACTGTGAGTATTCATCATTATCATTGAATTAAACGACAAATATTCATTATATCTGTATTATAATCTACCCATATATATATATATGTCAATTATAAAACAATATTTCAATAATATTTATAATGTTATTATTTTTAAGTTTTCTTCTGTACTATAAATACAGTAGAACCTCGATTATCCGGGGTAATGATGGGGAGAGGGTCACACGGATAAATGAAAATCACGGTTAATCGAGACTTTTTATAATAATGAAATTTTAAAAATTTTGATTCAATTGTAATTAGAAATATACATAAGAAGACGTATACATACAATAATGTTATACATATGTCCTACATCCATAATATTATATACCTACAACAAGTTATTAGGGCTTAAAATATGAAGTTATCGTCAAAAATGTCATTAATACGATTGTCGATATCGAGTATTATGTTTAAAAATGTTCGGAAGAATGGGCACGGTTAATCGCAAACACGGATAATCGAGGTTCTACTGTATACTAAAAAGTCATGTATGTATCAGAAGTATTTGTTAATAACAATTTTTTTATCAGTAATTGTTACAATTATTAAAATTCAATAGATATGTCTTAAGTACTTTGCACTTTACCTGAATCATTTGATAATATTTGATTTTTTTTTTTTTTTTTGAAACATTTTTCATTAGTTCTGTCTATTAAGTATAAAAGTAATTTTAAATAAATTTGTTATTATTATTATTTATAATATAACTTAGTTTATAATACACCAAAGAACTAATCTTTTGGACAAATTTAATGGTTCTTATCATTTTTTAGTTTTTAATAAGAATGTCAAATATTTCTTAGTATAAAAACATTAAAAACACTCAATTGATTACAAAACCTTATCAAAATTGGAAAATAAAACTGTTAAGTGTTACAATAAAATATTCAAGAGTAAATTTGTAAACATTGATAAAATATAAAATACATAATAACAAACTGTTTTGTTTATAAATAGTTATACCATGGTTGTAGACAAATAGTTGGTATAACAGCCATTTTTAGATGAACTATAGTTATACAAGAAAATGCATAGGTCAAATTAAGACTTTTCTACCTAATATAGGAACAATTATGCTAAAATACGTCTCATTCATTTCTTCTATAATATGAACATTATTAATAGTTAATATGTGCCACCTATACCAAAAAATCCAGCAGAAAATTAACTATTATTTGAAATAAAAAAAAATTTTCTGAAAAATTAACCAGCCCTTTTTATCCAAGACATATGGTCTCGACTAAAGCTTGCAAGTTATTGGAATTAAAATAGATAAAATATGCATTTTAAATTTTTGATTATTAAATGTACTAGTTTGTTCTGTTATAAATTATAGAGCATTAGAATAATTTGCGACTCCTACAACTTCTGAGCTGTAGTCAGTAGGACTATTCGCCCAACTTTTTTGTGATTCATTTCTTCAAGCTAATAGTATTTTTTCACAGATTGTCAATTATGAAATGATATAAATTCAGCATATTTATTTAATTTTGAATAGTATGATGAAGAGAAAAGAGCATGTTGATATGAATGGCAAATTAATAAATTTGGGTTAAAAAATGTATTAAGATATCTAGTAACACATGTGCTTGTGTTATCATTTAAATCATTATTACATTACAATTAATATAAATAATATGTCATTTTTCAATAAACCAAGTTAAAATAATATTATATTGTGTCATTTAAATGAAATTATTTCAAATGATTTATTTTAGATTTATAAAGTACCTATTATTTAACAACAACTTAAATAGTAAATAATCTACTATATTGCTTGATTGAAGTGACAATATTTATAAACCCTTTATAAATAATGTTGTAGTTGTAAATATAAAATACTGAATAATAAGAAATTAATTATTGTTTAATCTCAGTAAACTGAAAATAGTCTGTAAAAAAATAAAAATATTCTACCAACTAGTTGTTGCAGAATAATTATTAAAATCTTATGGAATTCAACTTGTCCTGCTGTCCCTTATATTAAATATTATTAATTTCATTTTTCTAACTCCTAATACATATGCAATATGCATTTATATTTAGAATGTATAATAATTCTCTTATTCAGTCAACATCTGATATTGTTATTCTTTCGTATTTTGAAAATTTTGTTCTTGTTAGAAAATAATTATTTCTCTATCAAACCTAAAAACTTTTATCAGTAGACATCTATTGATCAGCGAATAATAAATAAAATAGGTAATCCTTAATCACGTTCTAATTATATTAATGTTACAATGAACCGTGATATCATTTAATTGTTTTATAATTAATTAGTTAAGATTGTCTATATGCATAAGGTGTAATAGATAAAGAGTTAGGTATATAAGATATAGGTTAAGGAGATATGTCTGAGCACTTTTTCTTTTATCTCTCTGGCCTATGCTCAACAAAAAATTTCTATTCTACATAACTAACCTGTTATTAATTAATATTAAAGTGAACTGACCTGTTCATATAAATGTATATTAATTTTTTTCTATTCAACTAAAAATATTTCTTTTTATTTAAATTTTAATAATTATCAAGTGTTTTTGTTGTATTAATATTTATAAAATAAATTTTTTTCTCTGTTATTAAAATTTGTTAATTATCAATAATTATTAATCTAATAATAATATTATAATCAATAAATAAATAATATGCATTTACAAATTGATTTACATGCGTGTTATTATAAAAATTAAAAATGTAAATAAAGATATTTTAGCATTTTTATAATTGTATGATAATGATTAATTATTGATCATTAGAATAATTGTATATTACTTTAATAATTAATATTCAAGTCAACCCTTAGATTGTAAAATCAATTCAATATTACAATTACATTATGTAACATACTTCAAATTGTATGCTGCTTACTATACTTGATTATTGTTTTGGTTTATCCAGTCAATAAAGTGTGTTAACTTGAACTTTGACTGTAATAAGTCCATTTAAATATGAATTGTATATGACTACATATACATATCATTTATGTACTGACACAAATTCTGTTACAAATCTTATTTTGATGTCTTGCAATAATTTAAATTAAATTTTTTAATGAAATTTTGATAATTAGCTATTATTAAACAAATTAAAAATTTTTATTATTTATAGATTCCAAATTTGATCCAAGTCAACAGATTTTCCTAGCTTGCATGAATAGTAATAAAAATTTAAATGATATTGCAAAACTGCGAGAAGAATTAAAAACCCTAACATCAGAAGTCAATGTAAAAAGAAAAGAACTGAGTTTAATTGTTCTTAATGAGGATGGATTGAGAAAAAATATTAAACACTTAGAAGACATTATATCAATAAAGGTTAATTTAGTTATGTTATTATATTTATATTTTTTATATTTTTGTTCTATAAATGGTTTTAATTTTAATTAATTTAGGAAAATTTTGTTCGTGAAACTGCCAACTTTGCAGAAATCAGATGTAATGCAAAACACAAAGTTCAAAAAGAATATTGCAGAGTATTAAAAAAATATAATAAAATCTTAAGTGAGTTGAGTAAGTCAAATAAAAAGTCAAAAACAAATTCTAGTAATGGATCTAGCAAACATTCAGATTATGGAGAACGAGTAAATGAAAGAATTTTACGATATGAAGCTAAAATTAAAAAAATGGACGATGTAATAAAAATTGCTAGTGATAGTAAAGAAAAGTATGTAAAACATTAAATTATATATTCATTAAAATAATTTTTACTAATAGATTTTATTTTCAGGTTACTACAATATCAAGCTGCTTTACAAACTTCTAATGATCGTTTAAAAATATTTCAGGGTCAATTAAATAATCTACTAAAAAACAAACAAAGAGTTTCGTTGATAATAATAGAAAATGATAAGCGAATTAATCAATTGAAATTGTATTTATCTAATTTAGGAGTAAGTCACGACATTTTTTTATACATTTAATAATATTCACTTGAAAAATTATTCTGTTCTAAATATAGGTTATATCAAGTATAGAAAAAAGTAGAGTTCATACGTCTTCAAATTTAATTGAAAATGACAATTTAAAAAAAGAATTTTTACAATTGCGAGATATGAGGAATGCAGTTTTAAGCTCACGTCCTAAAGGGATGTTCAATCCAAAATATCAAAAGGTTTTTATATAAATTATATTTTTTGTTTAATTAAACTGAATTATTTCTATGATTAATTTTTTCATCCAATACTATTATAGTTTTTAAATAAGAAATTATTTGACATTTCCCGCTAGTCTAAATTTGCACTAAAATATTCAAATACTTAGAATTTATAAAAAAAAAAGTAGCATGCTATGACACTTAATTTTCATGTAATTTAATTGCCCAGTAAAATTTTTATTTAATCTGTGTAGCAGAATGTTGTAGAAATGTTATATAGAATGTTTAGTGTTCATAATATTATAAAATAATAATTTATAATATTATCTCCTTCTTCTTCTTCGGCTTTTTACAGGTTTTTTGGGCCCATTGCTGCAACAACATATTATCTCCACTCTCCTCTATCTTTTCCCATTTCTTCCACATTTCTTACTCTTAAAATCTTCAGGTCTTATCTTATTCTATCTGTCCGTCTTTGTCTGGGCCGTCCTCTGGATCTCTTTGTGTTTGTTTTCCATATAGTTATTTGTCCAGTTAGTCCTTTTGATCTCCTTACATGTTCAGCCCAACCTATTCTCACGCTTTTCAAGGTCCCAACAATGTTTGATTTGTTATATAGTTTATCCAAGTTATCATTGCTTCGTATTTCATATTCTCCATTATTTCTCTATGGCCCATATATCTGTCTCTCAAACACTCCTAACTTTTTTCATCTGATTTTGTTGTCGCCCAAGTGCTGCTTGCATATAGAGCTACTGGTTTGACTAAAACTTAATATAAGATTATTTTGGATTTTCTTGATAGTAGTTTCAACTTGAATAATGGTATCAGTCCATAGTAGCACCTATTTACTGCGATGAGCCGTTTTTTAACTTCCTCATGGCTATTCATATTTATAATATTATATAGTTTTTAAATAAAAATATTTAACTGTATGATGATAGCAGTATAAAATAATAAATCTTTTTCACCATGATAAGGCACAAAACATTTCTTACACATAGCATTCATAATATGCTCTACAAATTTATTTTATTACTGCAAAAAGTAGGTTCCCTACTTATGATAATTTAAAGTTTTTTCTTGATTTCAATTGTTTTTTGACAATTTGTAAATAAAAGCTTTTCATATATACTATTTAATCAAATTTATTGACCTTTCCTATTAATGCAATGTTACCAGTTATTGATTCTGAGCCAGATGTATACTCTAAGATACTTTTATTATTGATACTTATACGCATTTTTCTCATTAAATACTATTATGGCTGTTGTTTATTGTATTTACAATATTTCTACAGTGATAGAGTGTAGTTCCTAATTATTTTATTAACAAAATTATCTTCAATATCACTAACTTAGGCCAGAATTCGATGATTTTTTATTAATAATTGAATTGGCTTAGTAAAGTAACAATGTCATATTGCTACATTTTACTCTAAGATAAATTAAAATAAAATATTAGTTATGTATGTATAGATTATCGTGTAAATTTATATAGTAATACATCATAATCATATATATATAATAGTTTATATTATCCAAAACCTATATTTTACATGATTGTAAAATTATTAAATCAATATAAATAAAAATTCATTGAACCCTATTAAATGTATTATATATAAAACATCTAATATTAATATCAGGTAATAATAATATTAAACAGAAATAAATTTGTAAAAAACATCTAATTACTTCCTTTTACAATTTTTATACTCGTATGTACTCATATCTGTATTTGATAAATGTCGCTGAATTAAAAATAAAATAAATATATTGTTCTCTTCAGAAATATCTTTGACCCATTTTATAATATTAATAGTATTACTTTAATTTAATTTTAATTTAATTTTAATTTAATTATTTATAAATAAGTTCTTAGTATATCAAATAAAAAACTTGAATCAATAAATTATTATCAAAACTTACTGAAGAATAATGACTGAAAAAACATAGCGTGATGTCCACTTAAACAAATATTGTATACTAAATGATATAAGTTAACTTTTATTTTTAAGGAAGATAGTTTATCTAAAGAAGATATACGAAAATATTTAGAAAATGACGAAGCTATTGATACAATAGACTTTTTAACAGAGTTAAAAAATAATGAAATGTCCAATAATCAAACAAATTTATTGAAGTATATTCAAATGGTAATTAGTAATAAAGTTTTTTGATATATAATTTTTTTATGAATTATTACTTAAAACTATTTACAGAATTCAAATGAATCCAAAATTTTCTGGAAATGCCTATCAACTTTAAATAAAGATGAATTGAAAAAGTTGTTGGTACATTATTTTATAAAAGTTGTAGATTTAAAAGAATCTGGACGACAAAATGATGAACTCATATCTAAACTTGATGTGAGTAAATTTATATCATTAAATCCTTATAAAATGAAGCAATTGAATTTTTTTTTTTATATATATATTCTATAATTACATAACAAATTAAAATATATTTACAGGAAAGTAATGATAGACAGAGGCATAATATTCTGTCAATAAATAATAGTTATCAAGAATTTCATTTGTCAATTGAGAAAAAATTTGCATCATTAAAAAAATACTATCAAGCAAAAGTTGATACATTATTCCAAGTTGTACAAGAAGAAAAAAATGCTATTACTATGTTTAAAATGAAACAAGAAATATCCGGACTCAAAAAAAAAATTGTTGAATTGGAGAAATCTCAAACAGGTTAATATAATTATTTTAGTATAACATGGATGCTTATTTTTATAAATTCAATGTTATTGTAGTAAAACCTAAAAGGCCTTCAGTAATTCCAGTACCCCTTAACTGTTTAGATCATCTAGAAGCATCAAAATCAGAGGCAGAAACAGTGTCTTCTGCCAAAGTAACATACCACAAAAACAAGCTGAAAATACAAAAAACTAAAACTAAATGAACTCGGACACAAAATTTAAATACAATTATGTTGGGCATTGGTAAAGCGTGTGATCTACTATTAATAGGTAACAGATAATATGCCTTTTGTAACTAAATACCAAGGTTGACACGAAAAAACCTGGGCTGCTTTTCTGGGTTAAACCCACTTGATTTTTTAAAAAACCTGGGTTGTTTTTTTGGGTTAAAGCTCAGTATTTTGAAAAAACTCAAGCTGCTTATTTAGATAAATTAGAAATTCATTCTTATTTTTTTTTAACTTAGTGTTAATTTTCAGAAAAATTTACTTTTAGGTATTTTTTTTTTCCAATTTAAATATTAAATTGATTTGAAAAATTGTAATAATTGATTTTTTTTTTTTTAATTAGGTAATTTAAATTAAAAATTAAAAATGAAAAAAATTACACACTAATGGTCTATAGAAATTTTAACAATTTTTATTTTTTATTATGATATAAATTTTAAAAAAATTATCAATAGTATTAGGTAATTTTCCTGTAAAAACTTAATTAATAAATAATAATAAAAACAAAAATTAACAATTAATAAAATAACAAATACTGAATAATAAAATAAATAATAAGAATGTATAGCCTTATTACTGTCAGTCAATATCAGACATATTATTAAAAAAAGTTCTCCTCAACTTCTTCCCGATGGGTTTTTATATTTAGAAATCAGTGGATTCTAACTTATTTGGCTGTTTTTTCATGACCCAATCGAATTCTAAGTTTGTTCCAAATCAAACCAAAAGTAGAAAATATTCGATTTATTGAAGGGAGCTAGGTGAATTGGATTCGTTTGAAAACAGTTAGTTGAGTCCTGGGTATAAAATGGTAGTAGGTAAGTTGGGTCTCGGCTATAAAAAGGTAATAGGTAAGTTGGGTCCCAGCTATAAATCATTGGCGCAATTAGGTCTAAAATATTAAAAACTTAAAACTTTAATATTTCATATTTATATAATTTACTTTTGAATAATTGTTACAATAATACGTCATATTTCATATAGTGTGGTACACCCCCTGGACACCAATTAATTCTACGCATAATTTTAATGTGTGTATAGACAGGTATTCTTCTTTATTTAGCTCAGGGGTCGGCAATCCGCGGCCCGCAAAGCAATTTTTAATGGCCCGCACAAAGGTGGTTAATTTTTGTGTTTTACTTTTGTTCAATAACATTTTTCATATAATTTTCAATATTATATAATTCTTTTTCCTTTATAAATAAAATCTAATCTAACCGTTTCATAATAGCAATACAATTATAAGTATTATATCATAATATGTAATTTTTTTTTTTAATGTGGCCCTTGATGAACAATTGAAAAAAAAAATGGCCCGTGTGGTTAAAAAGGTTGCCGACCCCTGATTTAGCTTATTAACATTTTTAATATTATTTATACCACATATTGTAAAATTTGACGTACTATATTATTTAGCGTATTGACATTTTTTTCTCAGTACACAATTTTTTAATCATTTATACCATATATTTTTTATTGAGAACATAATATTATAAAAAACACATACATTTTAATTTATATAGTTTTTTCCGGGACTCAACTTACCTACAATCTTTTTTTTTCCGGGACTCAACTTACCTACAACCTTTTTTTTTTCTGGACCCAATTTACCAAGATAAGGTCATTTGAGACCCAATTTAACAATCCCGTATTGAGACAGAGGTAAGAGGAATACTTAGTAGGATGGAAAAAAATGAACAAAACTCCAAAGGCAATTTTCCTCCTTTTGCGGTTCGGCATTTTATTACATTCCACCATTGTCTTGGCTTTGATTTGTACATGTTGAGTACCGATTCTAAGAACATCAAAACTGGAAATATAGGTGGGTCCTTTATTTTAAAAACCAAAAATCCAGCAAGAAATTCTGGTTTGTAAGTTATGACCCATGATTCAGCTTTATTTTCATCGATAACGTGATAAGGGAAAAATCAAAAAATAGTGCAGCTAATACATGGAAAAAAAATACGATTTTTTTGAAATGGGTTTTTTTTTAAATACCCGATAAAACCGCCCATTATTACCTTTACAATAAAACCCACCGGGTTTTAGGGTTTTTTGGGGTTTATTTGAAAAAACCAAACCGAGTGGGGGTTTTTCAATAAAGCCAGGGTTTTTGCCAACTCTGCTAAATACACGGTGATAAACGTCTTGAAAAAACTGATTAAAGAAATAAATATATCTTAATAAATAGCTAATAGGTCACTACGTCTATCGTCTGTGCATTAATATGTTTACCATTAACCTAATCGTGTGTGCGCGAGTACGTAGTGTGTTTTAAAAATGTTAGCATCGGATTTTTATAAAATTATTAATCCTGAAAACTGTAGTGTAGAATTTCTTTAAAACTATGGACTATTGCCAAAAGAACATGAAATTAATAATTGCAAAATATGTGGTGATGCTACTAAAATGTGTGTACGAAAAAAGAGATTAGCATCTGGAGAGACTCGAGAATATAAATCTATCAGGTGCGTAGTAAAAGAGTGTCAAACTTTCAAATCAATTCAATCAAATAATTTATTTTTTAATTACACCGACCTTAATTCTCGTTGTCATTCAAATGTTTGGTCAGATATTAAAAATAATTTATTTTTGGACTCAAGATCATATTTTGAATTTTTGACTAATACTAATTGTATCATATATTTTGTGTACTTTAATGTATTAAATATAGTTATATTTTAATTGAATAATAATATAATATAATACTACATATTTATTTATTTATCTACTGTTTTATCCGTAGATCACACGCTTTACAAATGCCTTTTGTTGTTATTTTAGCTATTATTTGTAAGTGTACCTAAACTTAACCTTCCCAAACTTCATAATGTATTTCTCAAATATTAATTTATACTTGAATATTTTTATGTATCAACAAATTTTTATATGTGTTATTTATAGTTTAAAATATGAAATTTACTACAAAAAAGTAAATAATTTTATTTGCTATTTATTTTACTATCTAAGTAATAATTGTATCTTGTTTTTGAGTAACTAATCCAACTATCCAGTTGTAAAATGGATATTTTGAAACATAGGTCCAACATGTTATGTGTTCCAAGGCTGTTTTTAATTTGCCCTAGTGATGTGGAATTAGTATAAGAATGGTCAAATCTATTAATAACATAACAAGAGTAGCTTTTAATTATAATGAAATTAAACATGTATATTTTAATCAATTTATGGGCGTTAGGTTAGTTTTTCAGCTGAAATCTAAATCCAGATTTCTATAATCACTTCGTTAGATCATTTGTAGCATCTTGTAATATATGTTTCATAGTAGTTGTTATAACATAAAATAGAGTATTCATCAGTATATATTACCCCGTGAAAAAATTAATGTATGTTTGTTTACTTACTCACCATTATTCAGGCGTCAACTTATATTAAATGAGGTTCTCAAATGAATTTCAAAGAAGCCATCGGCCTCTTTGTGCGCATATATTTTTTGGTTGTTACAACCAGATACAGATAATAACAAAAGTATCACTAATATTTAATTACAAATCAACATTTTAAATGGGATTGTTCTGTTAGTATTGTGTAATAAAATTTTAATTTAACGACATCAATTCTGAAAAATACAAAATTCACTTAAGAAAATTTTGTTTTTGAAATTAATGTGAAACAAACATTTTTGTCAAAATCAACTTAATATGTGCTTAAAAACATTTTAATGCTATATTTTGCATAATTGTCCATTACGACATTTTATATCAACATATAACTTGAGTACATAAGCAATTACAATTAACTAAAAAGTTATACGCTTAAAAAAATTCGTTTATTTTTAATTTTTGTATTGTATGCTTGATTATAAGAGTTCTAATTCCTAATATGTTATTAATTATTTTTAACTAAATATCCATTTCGTATGTTTACATAGTATATTTTAGTATTTTAAATATCTAGTATTTGCTGATAACTACTCATGGTACCTACTATCTAATATTTATTACTAAGTTTTAATCGATCATAATATCAGACCTAGTAAAGTTGGTAATTTGCTTCCAAAATGTATATTTTAATAAAATATTTATTGGGAATATGGAACTTGTTTTTAACTATACGAGTACATAAAAGAATAGATTATTGTATATTGTATATTTGTATATATGATGTTATGTTATCAACATTACTTAATAGAAATAATTGTACATTGCTAGAGAAACCTTAATAGGTAAGTGAATAATTTGTTTATAAAATACATTAAAAATTTACTTAAATCAAAATGTCATATTATCTATTATGATAATAAAATATGGTCCTGTTTTACATTTATGATCAATTAGTTATCAAGCTTAACATAGAATTTTCAAAATATCTACGTGATCATCCTTTAACAGATCCAATATGTTTACAACTCATTGCCCTAAGTTCAAATGAAAGCTGCATATGTAATTATATAAAGTTTCTATTTACGTTGCTTTCACTTATTCGTAGTTCATTCTAATTGTTTTTTGATTTTGGTGTACATGGAAAATCAAAATTATTTGTGCTGTAATATGTTGTGTTAGAATTTGGCTGTTTTTTTTTTTATGATTAATTTTTTAAAAATATTTCTATTTTTAAAATATAAAGTAATTTTTTAGCATGTTCATTGGTTAATTTATTTATATTAATGAAAATGTATTAAAAACCTTTCTATACCAGCAAAATATGAAGGTAAAGATAAAATGTTTGTTGTAATTTTATTTAAATAAAAACCACCACAGACATATATGTATTTAGCACGTTATGCATAAATTGTATACTTTTGATGATTAATGATTTGTTCAACATAAAAATGCAAAGTGGTTCATAATATATAAGTTTGAGAAATCAAAGAACAAAACATAGAAAAAATTATGGTAAACAATGTATATATGAAAAAATGAAAGTTGGGGCGTTTGTGGAAATGATTATATGTATATTTTTAATAGTTTCTTAGTTACTAATTTTTACACTATCATTACATTTTTCCATCATATATAGTATAAACAGCAAAACTAAAATTTTTACCATATACATATTATTATTAATACAATTAAATTACTAGTCCTAAATCTGAAATTACGTTGGCTATAGTGTAGTATCTACTATATATTATTATTATGGTGAGTTATAAAAGAATCATTAAAGTTTTTAATGGAAAATAAATAATTATGTTAAATTATTCGTCCCAGGTACATACTAGTATACTACGATTATT